TGGAACAGGAGTAATTTTTCCTCAATTCCACTAGGTTTTCAAAATTGTTAACAAGCTCTGAATCATTTCTATATACTTATTGCCTATAGTTTTATCTATGACGTTTTTGCATTTAAACTGCTTATGAAAATATATATTAAATATTTGAGAATCAAGCTAAAGCACATGATACAGACATGACACATGCCTCCTAAATCTCTTAAAATTGGCTTTCTTTTCTGGGATGGATTAACTGTTAATGTAGGTACCTAATTACACAGCTCTTAGAATAATAAAGTGTAGCATGTTTGCTCTGTTGCTTGTTTATAGCTCTCAATTACTCATGTTTCTCTTCCTGTATGCATTAAATGTTGTTGCAGCAAAGGTCTCCTCTGCTCTAATCAGTATGCAACTTTTCCCTCCCTCGAGAGAGATTATTACCGTGTACTCTGCAGCTCATTTTGCCTGGATTGTGGTATCATGTTATCTACAGCAAGGAAGAATTGAGCTGTTCTGTTGTAGGAACGTCATGTGATTGCCAGTCAGGTTGAGGTGATGGTACTGTTGAGGGACTATAATTTTATTCTGCAGAGTGACTATCACAACTGCCAGTACAGAGATTCCCTAGGAATATTTTATACCTTTTACACGCCATTATACTAACACACAAGGTAGAAATAGTGGCCCAGCTCAGCAGCAATTCTTTTTAGTATATCTTGTTTAAAGACAAATAACAGGACTGGATGCTCACAGCTAAGCTAAAATAGAGGTTTGGATTGACTATTTAGTTAATATGGGAACTTCTACCTCCAAATACTCTCCTGGAAAAAGCTAAACCTTTGTAAATACAGTATGCATGTTTTCTTATTTTAGCATGTTGTTTGCATTCATAAATCTAAAAAAATATTTCAATTTAAAAATATTTTGGTGCACTGAATGCTCACTACATACCAACTGGATGCATGAGACTCTCTGGGATACTATATTCACACTTACCCATATAAAATAGAAATATCATCATTTAACATTTATGGAGAATGCATTGTGCTCCCGTATGATGGAGAGGTAGCTTGGGCTCATACTTTTAGCAGCGAAGTGACTGTCACACTAACTACTATTAGTAATATAAATTCTTGATTCTGTGTTGTCAGGCACTGTTCTAATTGCTTCATGTGAATTTTCTCATTCTACCCTTATAACCATATGGCAGCGTAGTACTATTATCTTCATTTTACGGATGAGAAAGCTGAGGCACATGTTAAGTAATGTATTAAGGAAATTTGAGGAGTCCTGGCTTAACTGGTATCCAAATACAATTCTGGATCTAGAACCCAAGCCCTCGCCATTATGTATGCTATCTTACCTCTCAACACTATCACACAAAAAAGATACACACTGTCATTGTGTGGCTAAATGTTTGTATATTTTCACTTCCTGACTCAATTTTCTTCTCCTGCACAAACTCTATTGTAGATTTCAATGAATTCCTTTGGAATTCTATAGTCTTTATCCCCATCTTTCTTACCCTGGAAAACTTTTCATGGAAGACATTTGAAGCTGTCCATTTTTCAATAAAAAGAAAAAAGTTATCAGTAGCTACAACTTATTTAGGGAGGCACTGAATTGATCTCCTTAAAGATTATTTTCACAAAAACAGAAGACACATGCCAACATGATTTTATTTATTTATTTATTTTTATTTTTTTTTTAACATCTTTATTGGGGTATAATTGCTTTACAATGGTGTGTTAGTTTCTGCTTTATAACAGAGTGAGTCAGTTATACATATATATATGTATATACATATACATATATATATGTTCCCATATCTCTTCCCTCTTTGTCTCCCTCCCTCCCACCCTCCCTATCCCACCCCTCCAGACAGCCACAAAGAACCGAGCCGGTTTCCCTGTGCCATGCGGCTGCTTCCCACTGGCTATCTACCTTACGTTTGTTAGTATATATATATATGTCCATGTCTCTCTCTCGCCCTAACACACCTCACCCTTCCCCCTCCCCATATCCTCAAGTCTGTTCTCCAGTAGGTCTCTGTCTTTATTCCTGTTTTACCCCTAGGTTCTTCATAACATTTTTTTTTCTTAAATTCCATATATATGTGTTAGCATACGGTATTTGTCCTTTTGATGACTTTTATTTTTAGATTCTATTACAATGTGTAAGTCTCAAGTATAACTACAATATAATTTATGGCAAACATTTTGAGCATTCATAGATATATGAAATTTGTAAAGAATTCTATGTAAACAGCATTGTTATATTCATGGCTATTCACTGAATTTTATGAAGCAGTTCTTGATTATTTTCCTCAAGAATATAACATAATAAACCGCAGATATTAACAGAAATTGATGGCCTCTATACATAGGTCCTAAACCCAAGCCAGTTACTTGGGCATTCTAATTTAGCTGGCCCTTTTTCATCACTCCCACTAACATTTCTCTGAAATTGCTATTTAGAATGGCTTTATTTACATATGCATTTTATCTTAACTCTTTTTAACAAAGCTATTAAAATTCTATAAAATCATGCTGAACATTTTGGGTTGAGGTTTTCAACAATCAGCATTTAGAAACAGCCCACAAATCACTTATATCTTTTGCAAACTATGTAACAGTCAAAAAGGTAAAGTGAGATTCTCCCACTTTTATTCAAATTGTATGAATGGATTTGTGTTCAAATCTGTTCGCTTCAGTTTTATTCCAATTTAAATTTTACAGTGTAACTGCCATTCTATATCCTTAGGTTAAATGAGTTCAATGATTGTGTGACTTAAATATTAGCATGACAGTGCTTTCTGAGGGTGGTGTCTTATAATCAGTACCAAACAGTAATCTACATGAAAAGAGAAGTCTAATTTTCCTTCAAGCTTGTACTATATTAAATGAGCTCTTGGTTCCAAATATTATCGCTAATTGATAAAAAGTCACAACTAGACATTCCTGGGAAAACATACATATACAAAACCTAAGCATGTTATATTGAAAAAAAATTATAGTTCAGCATGAAATAGGTTCAGCATGAAACAGAAGTGTGACTTTGTAAGTTTTTCTTTTTTTGAAACGCTAAGAAGAAATTGTGTTGAGGAACCAGTTGCCAATATTTTCTTCACATAAAAATCAGGCAATGTAAAAACATTAGTAGTAAATCACACATAAACCTACCCACTATACATCTTTTCACACTGTATTATATAAATATGCAAAGTGCAGTTATATTTATATGGATTTAAAATGATGAGGATAAACTGCATTCAAATTTAAGGTAATATTAATTTCTTAATTTAATGTATTAAAATATCTTACAAATGTAATATATTTTGTATGGTTCTCTAATTAAATTGTCAAAACCTATTTTCAACAGACTTAGCAGGGATGTGATGCAATGCTCTACATAGTCTAGGAAAACACTGCATGGTCTCTTATATATTAAATAAAAAAGAGGCTCAAATAATGTAAGATGAGTGACTGAATTTAGGTGTAAAGAATCTCTGGCCCTAGGTTTAATTTCATATGTGCCTTAGGACAAATGTCTAGACGTGATAATTTCCTTCACAGATGCTGAAAACATTCTAGATAGAAAGTTCTGTGGAAATTTCGCTTTCTTGGTTTTTATCTGTCTTTCTCATTTCTGTGTTTCTTTGCCTCTCTGCCTCTCCTTCTCTACCTATACTTCTTCATCTCTCTAGGTATGCTTAAATCTCCTTTATTTTTAACTAGCCAGAGCAACAAAAAAATTGCTTTAAGTACTTAATATAGAAATATATTTGTTCTTTTTTCATTTAAGAAAGCAAATGAATGAAATATTGTTGTATATATTTGCTTTGAAAACTCCCACAAAATCTTCTAAATAAAATTCTTTCTACTTTATGTAACTCGATTTTTGTGTGTGCATGAATAACTCGATAGAAGAAATATCTCATATTCCTGGAATAAACTCATAAAAAATACATCATGGCTGTTTCTTTGCAAGCCACTATTAACAAGGATTTTTAAGAAATTAGATTCATAATCCTTGGTGGAAGGACAACAGCTAAAGCAAAATGAATGTGTGCTTGGTAAACTATAAGCTCAGGATATGTTATTGATTGATACATAATATACCTCATAGTCATAGAATTTTATGGAGAAAGTGACATCTTTCTAATTTTGTAGACGAAAGCATAAAAGTTCAAGAGGATGAATGCTATTTCATCCTTTTCACACACAAGTCTGTGTTGAAAGCATGCCATGTATTATGACTTGAAAGCTTGCCATACACACTTAGGATGGTATGCGGGAGACACAGTTAATACTGTGCCCAAGTCATTATCTACTCAAACATGTTCCATGGTATCAAATATCTATCTGCATATCTGGAAGCACTCCACGGAAGAGAAATAGCAACTTTGCTTAGTGATAAAGAATAACTCAACAATACTGAATCAGAAAGCAGAAAACTGGGACAAAAATGACTAAGAGTCGGGTTATTATTGGTATTTTGGGGCAGTACAGTCCAGTGTTACATTGTATACATAAAAGTGAATAAAGCTTTCTTCAGTTGCTTCTTTTCTCAATTACCTTCATTTTTTTCTTTCGAGGAATGTGATACGTACTTAAAATAAATTTTTCACGTTCCACAGTTATTGTATGAACAAAGAAGGATATAGAAAAAGGCAGTCTATGAAGCACAATACTCTAAAGGTAACTCTTATCCTAGTTGGTATATGAGTCAAGATGAATAAAAAGCATTTGTTGAACTGACTAGCCTACGTGTTTTTAATCCCATGGCATTTAATAGGCACATATAAACTGGTTTTGATGCAATATGAATACATTTAAGCACCTCAAAATATAGAATGACCACTGTAGACGGATAAAACAGTCTTGTCCCTAATAATAACAAGATGTTTTAACTAAACATTCATTACTAGTATTCATTCCTTCTATCAGGGCACTTCATGGCAAAGCCAAGGGAAAATACTTTTGTAGATATCCAAATGATAGATATTTGCGCGCACGTGCGCGTGTGTTTGTATTTGCATGGGAAACATGAATGTTTATAATCCTGTGAAAAGATGACAAGGCAGATGTGAACATTTTCTACATGGTCTTCTGATTTATTAAAAGTATATAAAATTAAATCACCTTTGTTTGCTGTAATCAATAATCCCTGTACAGTTACTCTTAAGAATTTTTATAGATTCATTTACCAATGCAAAAATAGCCACTGCTAATGCTGCTCACCTATGTTAGAGAATCAGAGCTAGTGACTGCACTGACTTTGAGACTATTTTGATAAAAAGAGTTTTGGCATAGACCTCCTTAAAAGAGTCTTATTAACACAAATATATCACCTTCACAGGCTGTAAACAATATATCAAAAGTGAAGCTCTATTTTTTGCCTTCCTTGCCATCTTTTCCTTTGTCTTCCTTTTCTGTTTTGTCTTTTTCATATTTCTCTTTGTCTGGTTTTGTTACACTATCATATGAAGGTGGAGAGATGGTGGATGGAGTTCCATCTGTTTTTTCTGGACTTGAGTTCTCATTAACGTTATCAGAAACCATATCTTCTTTATTGGGCAAATCATCATCTCTGTCACCATCTTTTATGTATATACTTGATAGGTTTTTGACATTTTGCCGCAAGCGATAACGTCTGTAAGCACGCTGAATGACAGTAGCAGACACATCTTCCTGTTTTCGTTTTAGTGTAGTTGTGATGGGTTCATAGGACACTTTAGAAGGATTTGCAGACATGAACCTTTCTTCCATCTGTGAACGAAGAGAGTCCATCTCTCCACTTTCACCCAAAACACGCTTTGTAAAAGCAAATAAGATGTCAAGACAATGGATCCGGTCCCCACTGACCATGGGCAGATCCATGGCAATGAGCTGGACTTTGTTTGGTTTTGCTATGAGAAGAGGAGGATCCAGGGCAGCTGCAAAATCAGAGAGTTTGCTATATTCTATAAATTGGGTGGCATCGGGATCAAACTTCTCCCAAACCTCGTAGAACATCTCAAAGTCATCCTCACTCAGCGGCTCAGTACTTTCTTCAGTGGCAACACTGAAGTTCTCCAGGATGACAGCAATGTACATGTTCACCACGACCAGAAATGATATGATGATGTAACTGACAAAATAGAAGATCCCCACAGATGGGTTCCCACAGTCTCCTTCAACTGAGCTTCCAGGATGAACTTTCCTGGGGTCACAATCAGGTGGTGCACTGTTGAGAATAGGTGCTAGCAATCCATCCCAGCCAGCAGAGGTGGTAATCTGGAACAGGCAGATCATGCTGTTGCCAAAGGTCTCAAAGTTGAACATGTCATTAATTCCAGCTTCCTTTTTAACATAGGCAAAGTTGGACATTCCAAAGATGGCGTAGATGAACATGACCAGAAAGAGCAGGAGGCCGATGTTAAACAACGCAGGAAGGGACATCATCAAAGCAAAGAGCAGTGTGCGGATCCCCTTGGCCCCTTTGATCAGACGTAGGATTCGGCCAATCCTGGCAAGACGGATCACTCGAAACAGGGTAGGGGACACAAAATACCTTTCTATCAAATCTGCTAGAAACATACCTGGTGAAGAGGGAAGGAATACAAAAAAAAAACTTAAATATCCATGCTACAGAAAATCATGACTCTAAATAGTTTTATGTGCCATCTTACCTCTTATGATTTCAGGATTGTCATTTTACATTGAAAGCAATTTCACAACAACCCAAGGATCAAGCAATCCCACAGGAAAATGGTTAGAATTACTATTGTGAAATATTCTCTCCCTTACTAAGTTTGTAGATCTTATTTTTTTCCTCCACAACAATTTTTTTAATTGTAAGTGTAGAAAAATTAAAGCTACACAGTAAAATGCTAAAAAGAAAATAAAAATCACCTGAAATATCAACCAACCATTTACTACTGTTAATATTTTGTTGAGGATCACTCCATTTTTCTATGCAAGCACACAAACATTTACAAATGTAATCATGATATAGGAGCTTTTTTATGTCATCTGTTTTAGCTACTTCATCATATGTTATGGACATATTTTCATATAAATGACAACAGAATAATTCCTTATAGTTATATAATGTTCTGTCCAAATAACCATATATTGAAGAATTTTATGTTGTTTCCAATTGTTTTGGCTGAGACAAATATCCAAGTAGGTATATTTTCTTTTAGTTGCATGGGCAATTTTTTTTTTTTTTTTTTTTTTGCGCGGGCCTCTCACTGTTGTGGCCTTTCCCGTTGCGGAGCACAGGCTCTGGACGTGCAGGCCCAGCGGCCATGGCTCACGGGCCATGGGCATATTTTGATAAAAAAGAAGGTAGGTCAAACAGTATATTTAAAATTTTGTTATATATTGCAAGTCTATCTCCAGAAAGTCTGTACAAATTAACACTCCTAATGATAGTCTATGAAAGTGCTCACACTCCACATGCTCACCAGTGTTGTCATTTTTCTTTATAATTTTACCAAAAAAACTTTGTGATGTTTAAAACATCTCATTATTATAGTTTATTTGCATTTCTTTTGGGAAAAATAATCCAAAATTTTTTTATTATTTATTGGGCATTTTGTATGCTTGTTGACTATTTTCAACTTTCTCTTTTTGGCCTAGTTTAGTCCTTTGCCCATTTTTCTATTGGGAGATTTACTATTTTCTTACTGATTTATGAGGACTATTTTTCTATTACAAGTGCTAATCCTTTATTGGTCTTAAATGTTACATTAACAATAGCCCTGTTTTTAATTTGTCTTTCAACTTTTTTTTTTGTTAATTTGGTGGTGGTAGTGAGTTTTCCTCCATAGAATATTTTGATTTTTATGTAGTCATATCTATTATTTTTTCTTCATGGAGTCAAGTTTGTCATGAATAGAAAGGACTATTCAAGCTCATGGTTATAAATCTATTTCTACTAGAATCCATTTTTTTAATACTTTAATTTTTACACATCAATTAATAAATCTTGATCCATGAGATCTTTTAACTGAGTAACTTAGTAATTCTCTATATACTGATGTTTAATTTTGGATTATTCATTTGAATCCATTGAGCTTTTTAGTAAACACTGTTTTAATTCATCAATGTAATAATAATCTTAATATCTAGCAATGTAAGTCACCCCTCATTACTCTAATTTTTCTTCCAGGTGAATTTTAGAATCATTAGATTTATATCACCAATTTATTATCCCCACTACACAAAAAGATGCTCATATTCTCATTGGGATAACAGTGGAATTATAGATTAATCTATTAAAAAAATGGTCATGATTACAGGGAGACCCTTGTTATCCAAGTACAAGAAAAGCCTTTCAATTATTTGAAACCTTCTTTTGTTTCTGTTAGTTTTCCTCATAGAAACCTTATACATTTCTTGTTAAAGTTGTTACTAGGTATTTTACTTTATTTTTATTGGAATTGTGAATGAAATTTTTCTTTAGGCATATTTTCTAATTTTTTGCTCCACATATAAAACAATTACTAACATTGGTACGTACAATTTAAAATTTGCACCTTCTGAATTCTAAATGAATCCATATTTTTCAGTTGATTCTCTTGCATTTTTAGAGTGCCATAATAAGATCTGAAAATGAAAATTTGCTCCACTGTTCAAATATATGTACCTCTCTGTTTTCTTATCTAATTGTATCAGCCAACACTGTTACAAATAGAGGTGACAGAGGGACACTCTTTTCTTCTTCCTAAGTTAACTGAAATGCTTCCACCATTTTGCTTGTTGTATGTGATTCCTACCTAAATTTTAATTTGTTTTTTTATATATTAACTTTAATGTCACCTCTGGTAATAATACTCCTTTTCAAAAATTGATTTTGAATCCCTAGTCTAACTTATACTACTCAATATGGCAGTTTTAGGTTATGTGACTTTTAACCTTTCTTGTCCTGCCTGTTTCAGCATCTCTGAGTTTGTATTAAATAATCTCTACAATCTCTGTCTAAAATTCATAATTATGAAAATAAATGCAATCCTAAACTACTAGGCAAGGCATGTACAAATAATAAAAAAACAAGAAGATAGAAAAAACAGCTATGGTAATGAAATGAGAGGAAGTATAAAATCAAATACTGTGATTCACAGATATGACTGGGGTTGGTTGAGAAATGATTACAAACTTGACAAGTATGAAGCCATAAGAAATGAAGCTGGCATTTCTTCAGACCTTAACTTTTCACTTTGAGTTCAGGAATAATTTTCACAAAGAGTCACCGATATTCTGTCTAGTTATATTATCATTAATCAAAGGATAGTTCTCATATGTGTAAAAACCGGAAGTGATTTCAGATTCTACATTGGTCTTCTAAGACATACCTACCTATAGACCCAGTTGCTACCTTTGTGAAGGGTAATCTTGGAAATCAAATATCAAGGAGTTTTATGTGCTTCCAACAAACAGAATATGTGTGGCTTTGAGGCTTGTTGTGTGAACCTAGGAATTCTGACACAGAGGTATTTGTTTTTTTTAGTTTTGTTTTTAAGGTTCCTTCACCCTTTCAGTGTTACTAACTTACTCAAAAGTAAGTTTACATTCAAGAATTCAGAAACTTCTCTGAGTATGTGTGATGTTTAGTTTGATTCAAAATAGAAATCTGATCAATAAATGCTCTTACCTACAATGGAGAGAATCACCACCACAAAATCAAAGATGTTCCATCCTACAGTAAAGTAGTAGCATCTGAGGGAGATCAGCTTCAGCACACATTCTCCAGTGAACAGGATAACAAAACCCACATTGATCCAATATAAAACTTCAGTCATGTATGCACTTTGTCCCTCTTTTTCTACCATCATGGTTACCATGTTGAGGCAGATAAGAACCATGATGGCGATATCAAAAGCTTGGTTTGTTACTAGGTCAAATATACATCCTTGGAATTTGTTCTGCAAAGAAACAAAAATAATAGGAAATGTACAGTAAATTTTGCAAGTAGTATCCATAAATCATTACATTAGTAAAAAAAATTTTTTTTAAGGTATCAGTCTTCAAAACTTGCATAAATTATCCCTGGTCACAGGTTCTTGCTTTGTACAAGAAATATTATTAAATCTTAGAGTACATGAAAACTTTTTGTTGCTGTTGACTTTCAGTATACCAAGTCTGCAGCGAGCCTTGTAAACCAACATTTGCTTTTAAGCATATCCACCCCTAGTATGTTACATAGGAGTTGCCAGGATCACAAGGTAAGTTTTACTAAGAAAACCTCAGCTCTACTACCTAGAGTATTTCAAGGTAATAAAATGACATCTCTAAATTTCTGCTTTGTCACGTTATTTTGACTAATGTGTTGGCATTGTCTTGTACTGATGTTACTGCTATAATATCAGATCTATGTTTTCCTATCTCTTCCATGTATAGAATATACATTTCCAAACATACCCATACTTAACACATCACCTTTCTTGTCAGTCTCACTGATAGTACTATGCTTTCCAGGAAACCCAATTTCAAAATCACTTTATTAGTTGCATAGGCAAGTTTTAAGGCACTGTATTCAAAGTCAAGTAGTGTACTGAAAAAATTAAATACCAGAGCTTTAAATTCATATATTATGATTCAGTAGGGTCTGGGTGAAACCTGGCCATGTCCATTTAAAAAGTGCAGGGTAATCCTCATGTAGCCAGCTGGTACTAAGTGGATTCCCATCTTTAGGATGCTCTGTCTGCAGCCATGACTTTTGGTAAGGTGTGTTATGTTGAATAAAAATTGAAAAACATGTAATGCATTTAAAATTATTTTAATTGTTAGAGGGATACAAACTATTCTTTAACTGCTAAGACTCACTATTTACATCTGAGCTTATTCTGGTCTTTGACCCTATGGTAAGATAAAGTTTAGATTCATGACCAGTCCAACTGCTTCTCTGGCTATTTGTTGTAATATCAAAGATCTACAAGGTTAGTTTCACCTGACTGATAGACAGCCATCATTACATCATAAAGCCATCAAGAAAATCAAATTTCAATCAAAAGTACATTTTAGGGCTTCCCTGGTGACACAGTGGTTGAGAGTCTGCCTGCCCATGCAGGGGATGTGGGTTCGTGCCCCGGTCTGGGAGGATCCCACATGCCGCGGAGCGGCTGGGCCCGTGAGCCATGGCCGCTGAGCCTGCGCGTCCGGAGCCTGTGCTCCGCAACAGGAGAGGCCACAGCAGTGAGAGGCCCGCGTACCGCAAAAAAAAAAAAAAAAAAAAAAAGTACATTTTATTTTGATTCTCTACAGGCCATTTGTACTAATAGTAAGTTGTATAGCTAAGGTAGAGATAAAAGCTATATAATTATTTTTCATTTTTATAGAAAAAGAAATTATATGAAGGCATATTATGAGCTGTGATAGTGTTCAAAATACATATGTTCAGTTTTATAAGAATTTTTCTTCAAAATATTAAAATATATGCATTCATGTTTAAGAAATAATTATATATTAAAGATGAATTGAAAATAATTTTAAAATTTACATGCTAAATATAATTTTTTTTTTTTTTACCCCCGGACGAGGTATTGGCTTTTGTGGTTTCTTGGATCCCAGCTTTTTCATTGCATTATAATATTTCTTCTGTTCTTCTGTCATAAAGATATCTTGACCTCCAAGGTAAAGAAATAAAAAATAAATCTAGTTAAAACCAGAATCATTGTCTAGATCTTCCTTCAGATCATTATTCAGGTTAAAAATGTATTCATACAGAAATGAAATGTTTTCTTGCTTCAGTAGGACATATATTAAAATTGGAACCATACAGAGATTAGCATGGCTCCTGATCTAGGATGACATGCAAATCTGTGAAGCGTTCCATAGTTTTGGTGACAGATGGTGACAGACGTTAACTAGACTTTTATGGTAATCATTTCACAATGTATGCAAATATCAAATCATTATGTTGTATACCTGGAACTAATATACTGTTATATATCAATTACACTTCAATTTAAAGAAATGAAATGCCTTTTATTATGTGCAAGTTAGCTATAAATCAAACCTGTATTAAAGGATTACCTATGTGTAGGCACATGACTCTCCGTACGTAATGCTGTATGCATAATACATAAAATATATGGATTACATGCAATAATGATTGGCTCAATTATCTTTTAGTAGCCTAACCTGCTATCTCATTTTATCTGCTACTTGTCTCACCAGGCATTTCATTGCTAAATAACAAATATATCAGTAGTGAATGATAATTTGGCTAACGTTTACTTATTAGCCATACTGACTCATAAAGAGTAGGGAGTAGGGGCCAAAAGTGGTAGCTAAAATAGTATTATTTTTATATGCACTTGTATTCATTTTAATATATCATATTCCCTTAGCAGAATAAATGAATATACTATATACATGTATAGCACATATCCATAAATACTGTAAACACACACACACACACACACACACATATTTGGTATACATATAATAAATTTATTTATTTATTTATTAAAAAAAAAAACTCTTTAGTTACCTCTTTAATTCCAAACAAGGAATTTCAACATAAACACTTTATTGGGTGTAAACATTGCATGTAATAGAGTTTTAGATGTTGAGAAAATTACCAATAATCCAGGGTTTCTGACTTGAAGGATTTTCTAATTGAATATACAACATTTAAGATTCAACAGTAAATAAACTAACATCTAAATAAAGTTTTTGTTCCTTTCTACACTGTATAAGTCTAAATCTCACAAAGGAGGCCTAGAAACTTTGCCTATTCTTTTAAACTCCGTTAATTTCTTAAAATTATCTATAATTTATACAGATTCACGCATATTCCTCATCGGTCCACAATATAAACTTTTTAGTTATGGCATAAATTAGTACAATCCATGTAACTAGGAATTTATTTTGGGGAATTTACAGTTCTGAAATCCTTACTTAACTTGTAGGGTCCTGGAGCTAAGGTGATCTGTTTATGGTTTCCCTTTGGTTTTTCTGGATTGCATTTTCTTATCAAATACCTAACGATAACCAGGCTTCCCTTTCTGTCTTATGTGTTTTAATTTACATCTCCTCTAATTGATAGGCAGTCTTTGTGCAATTTTGGCATTTACCTGATCTATTGATGCATGAGGTTTAGAGAAGCCCAGACCCTTTATTCCTCAGTGATGAGGGTTGAATATCACAGCAGGTCAAGAACTTACAAGAAGCTAGGAAAACACTGGGAAGATAACTCTGAATTAGAGGTAAAAACCAAAGTAGCAGGTTTTGTCTTCCCTTGATGATACCCTGGTTGTCAACATAATGAAGGATGGGATGAAGCTAATAGGAGATTACAAAATGCTCCAGTAGAGAAACTTGTGTTGTGATTTTATTTAACTGTAGCTTATACAGACCTTGTAAAATGCATCCTGTTACTAGAAAATGGACTTGAGGATATGGGGAGGGGGAAGGGTAAGCTGTGACAAAGCAAGAGAGTGGCATGGACATATATACACTACCAAACATAAAATAGATAGCTAGTGGGAAGCAGTCACATAGCACAGGGAGATCAGCTCGGTGCTTTGTGACCACCTAGAGGGGTGGGATAGGGAGGGAGTGAGGGAGGGAGACACAAGAGGGAAGAGATATGGGAACATATGTATATGTATAACTGATTCACTTTGTTATAATGCAGAAACTGACACACCATTGTAAAGCAATTATACTCCAATAAAGATGTAAAAAAAACATTAAAAAAAAAAAAAAGCTAGGTGGCAGACATTCTGTAAGTCAGGCTGGTCTTTACACTGTCAAGGCTGTATTATATAGTAGTTAAGAAGACCCCAGTTCTGGTGTAAGATCATCTTCTTTCAATCCCCATCTCTGTTGCCCTTGGGCAAGTTTTTTAATCTCTTTAAGGTTATATCATCTCATCATTACAAGACTACCTCATTGGTTTGTTGTGAGGATCAATTAAGATACTGTGTTTCAAACACTCAGTAATTATTTATAACTTCCGTTGTTGTTATTAACCTTCCAAACAGTTATAGTTACTAAAAAGGGTTGCTGTTACTTAGAATTTACTCATATGTACCCAGGTCTGTACTAGTCACTTGTGTAAATACATTGCATACATTTCCCTTTTATAACTTGAACTCATTAATAACTTATGTTCTAATTTTCAGAAGTATATTTTCTGATGAACTATTAAAACCCAATTATCACATGGATTTATTAAAGATGAAAACAGTGTATATAAGAATGATGGATAGCTGGCAAACTAGTAAAGTAGGGCTGGTGATTAGAAAGAGGTATGGGAATTTGGCAGGGTCCTAAACTGAGACCAGAGTGTTGAAGTTAAAAAGCATTAAGAGGCAACATTGCATTGTGGAAAAAATAGGCTTTGCAGTCAAACAGAACTTTGGATCCTGACTACCAATGACCTACTACTTGATTTGAAACAAGTTGTTTATCTTCTCTAGGCCTCGGTTTATACACTTGTATAAAGATACCACTTTCATTTGTTTGTTCTATGGATTAGATGAATTCATATAGAGGCCTCTCGCAGGAGACCTCCTCTGTAGTAGATTATTAATTGACGTGTTGGTCCTGTCTTCTTTCATTCTCTTAGTAGGTTGGAAAGAAACCCTAAACCATTCAGAAAGGGTCAGAAGATAAAAAGCAGCTTAGAATGCAAGTGAAACACTGGAAGAATGGTAGGGGATAACTGTAACTGTCACTGCTTTGAAATTAGTAACTTTTGCATTACTAATGATGTGGTTACATCATTAGTTACTGGTAATGATGTCTACCCAACCCATCTTCCTGCAGTGGCAATTCTTGTTGTAAGAATAACATTCAAGAGCAAAGGGATCAAAGCAATTAGGGCTGTGGCTGTCCTGTCCTGTCATACTGCTCTTTCTAGACCCACCTATAATTTATTCTATACAGGGAATGCTGGAGAACCATATGTATGTGCTTATATATCACATATACACGTATATAATGACTAAAGTAGGAAAAATAAATTGGAAATTAGGGTATAATTTGTGAAATTATTTTCAAGATTAATTATTAATTATTCAAGATCCTCTGCCTAAAGGCATGAATATATGATAATGCTAGCTAAGTTTGACTGTTAGATACAAAATGTAAGAGTGGAGCGTGGAATTTTAAAAATTCTTTGAAAAATAAACACCTGTATTTGGAAATATAAGCATAAATAACATTTAATATTTACTGCATTTTCTTACACCTGAGAATAGACAATCACGGCCACTGATGACATTTCACTGCATGTACACCTGTCTTTTCTTAGATGCTAAGCCAGTACCTGAAATCACTTCCTCCTGGTATTCCAGCACTCACCCTTCAAAGGTCTCTTTTCCTGTGGGTGGTACTACAGCCACAGTAACTCTGTTAACTTTGAGAAAACTGAGACTTCTTAGACATTGTTTTCTGCAAATCACAAACAACACTGTAGACCCTACCCCCTAAAATCTCTTAACTGAATGAATCCCCTATTCTCTGTTGCTGCAAATGACTAATTTGGAGAATTAAGTGTAGTCTAGGTGGCAGGTAAAGCAGGGTCTGACCTAGTCTTTGGTCTCTCCCCAGTCATTCTCTGCATCATTGTTAGGTTAAATTTTTAATTAAAGCTGAGTTTTCATAATCTCTGGGAAAAGAGACCCTGGAGTTAGATGCATGATGAAGCTACACATGTGTGAAGCTATCACACCATGTGCAAGTCACACAACCCCTCTGGAAGGTGAAGTGGGGATACTGTGCTCTGTAGACTTATAAAATGTGACGAAGATTACTGTGTAAAGTACTTTACACACGATCAGACATGTCATCAAATCTTAATAGATATCTATGTCCTGCTTATATGTTCTTCCGTACTCAAAATACCTCAATGACACATCAGATCCTACTGAAAAATATCTGACATGACTTTTCAGATCTGCTCTCAAGCAAATAAAGACCTCGTCTTTCCTATTTCTCTTCTCAAAACTCCATCCAAAGTAGATGGACTGGTATTTCTCCTGCACTGCACCTCCTTTGCCAGCATGGTGCATGTGTTCACACACTTCTCTGACCCTTCATGTGGCTTACTTATCCTTCTGCCTGCCACTTGCTTTGTGTCTTTTCATCCATCTTCCAAGCCCTGCTCAATTGTCACATATATCATAAAACTTTCTATAGCTGTACCTAGTTTTCCTCTGACTGCCCATTTACATTTTTTGTTGTTAATTTTCTTACTGCATTTATCACTATGTCATATTATAGTATTTGGGGGTACAGCATAGGAAAGGGCCTAAGTAATATACAAGGTACATGGGATCAACTACTGACTGTTAAAACCCGAACACTTAACCAGGTGCATAATCGTGGGTAAGTCACTCAAAATCTCTGTGCCTTTCCTCATTTATCAGACAAAGTCTATAATTCCTCTCACGGTTGATGTTAAGGATTAAACTGTGTCCAACCCCCCTCCCCCACCCTGTCAAAAAAAAAAAAAAGAAAAGGAGATATGTTGAAGTCCTAACCCCTCGTACCTCAGAAAGACCTTATTTGGAAATAGTGTCATTGAAGATGTAATTAAAATACGGTCATACTGGAGTAGGGTGGGCCCTTAATCCAATATGACTGGTGCCCCTATAAGGAGAGGAGAGAGACAGAAAGAGAGAGAACGTCATGTGACCACAGAGGCTGAGACTGAAGTTACGCTGCCATAAGCCAAGGAATACTTGAGCTACCAGAAGCTGGAAGATGCAAAGAAGGATCCTCCTCTAGAGACTCTGAGGAAAACATGGCCTTACCAACACTTTGATTTTGGACTTCTAGCTTCCAGAACTGTGAAAGAATCAACTTCTGATGTTCGAAACCACACAGTGTGTGGTACTTTGCTATGGCGGCCTAAGACTGATGCAGTTGATGTGAACATTAATGAAACAAAAATCTCATTGTGTTTGACTTGCAAATCTTAACTTTAATTACCTGTGTCATTTCTTCTGCTATAATAAACTCCTTGAGCTCAGGAAAGTATCTTCTGTTGTTCTCTTTAAGTACCAACCCAATACATACCACACAGAACAGTGGCTCAGAACAGAATACAGTAACTACTTATGAAACATATTTTGAGTAAATAATCAGTTCGTTGAATTTTCTTAATCAATCCTCTACAGGGAACATTGGAAAATAAAACTAAATAGTTGATGTATTTCTTAAAAATAATTATGACTTAGGAGATGATTATTTTCTGTGCAGAGATGAATGAGATTAAGCATATCCATCATTGTACAGTAACCAATTACTTGGAAAATTAATGAAATTCTAATGAACTAATTACTAACTGACACCAAATTAAATTTCACATTGTATTTTTGGGAAAGTAATTGTTAATTTCTTTCAGTGCAATGACAAAAACTTGAAATACTTATCTTCTTTTTCTGTTGGTTGAAGTTATCTATGATGACCCCAATGAACAAGTTCAAGGTGAAGAATGACCCAAAGATGATGAAAATGACAAAATAAATATACATGTAGAGGCTGTATTCATATATGGGCTGCCTGTCTACCTATAAAATTAACAAAAGTTAGCAGTACGTTGACAATAAAATTCAGCATTTTCTTTTTCACATGCTTTGACAAGGTAATTCAAACAGTGCTATCCTAGGTAAACGTGGTTTTTCAGAAGCCATAGTGTTGTCAAGGTTCAACATAATCATTCTTAAAAATTTATTCAACACTAAATAAATATTTATTACATGCTTACTATGAATATAATCTTCAAATGACTACAAAGGGCTTATCCACTGTAGTACTTATTCTCAGATTGTAGGACAATTGAGTAAGTAAAGGACCTAATGCATAATTTTTATTTCCAGAAAAAAATAGTAAAAGAGATGATATCACACTTATATAAATCTTTTTTTTTTCATTTGATTACAACAATGTCTTCTGTGGCTTTTGTGACAATATGAAATAGTCAGCAGTCTTCAAACTTTCTTAGTGTGTGACTAATTTCGCATAAACTCTTTGAAGGAACTTTAAAATATAAAAGCAGTAAAAACTATGAATAAAATGTTATTTCCTTTTTATTTTGATAAACAAATATTTACTGAGCACTTATTATTGCCAGGCTGTGCTAAGCGCTCTACTTAACATTTTCTAGTTGGATCCTCACTCAGAACAATCCCATGAGGTAGGCAGTGAATTACTTTCTTTTCATAGATCAATAAACAGGCTCAGAGAGATAAAGTAATTTGCTCGAAGTCATATGCAAGCTTGTCTGATATGGTACAGCCAGAATTTAAGCCAAGCTCTGTTTCCAAATGCTGCACAGGTAACCACTAGGCTACCACCAGGTGGGTGTTCTTCAGTGTATGTGCACATACCAAGGGCTCCTTGGAGCTGCTGTTTGAAAACAGCCTAACTAAACTAAGGAACTTTTCAAAATTGTACAGTTTAGTGTTATGTTTACCAATACTTACGTTAACAGAATCAACTGCTGCATACATAATATCCATCCATCCTTTAAATGTTGCCTGTAAATATAAAATTTATAGAATCTGAACCTCATACTTTAGTCACAAGTGAGTTTAGTGTGTTTAATGTTATAGCATTTATTAATTAATACTAAATTAGTGAGTTTTACTATACAGTCGTCCCTCGGTATCTGCAGGGGATTGGTTCCAGGGCCCCCCTGAAGATACCAAAATCTGCCCATGCTCAAGTCCCTTGCATTAGGCAGATGCGAACCCACAGATAAGGAGAGCCCACTGTATTTCAAAATACCAATTTAACGTAAGATGCTGTGTCAAGGGAAAAAAGGGGAGGGACTGTCACAACTGCCTGTGAGTTTTATACATGAACTTTAATTTTTTTCCAGAGTGGGGAGGCGAATTTTATGAATAACAAAAGAAACAATTTTTTTTCCCATATCTTAAGGATTCTCCATACCAGTGGGAAGTCCTTCTCATTTCCCTGTAGTGTAAAAGTGCAGTCCAAAACATGACTATTTGTTTTTGGACGCAGTATTCAGATGGCACAATGGCAGGGGGTCAGGTGACTCCAAAAAGGTGGATTAATAACTCTAAAATGCAACAGAACCCATGTTCTGTTTTCATGTTTATAGGCACATGTTCTAAAAAGACCAACTCTATTTTGAAAGTCACAAAGTACTTTATCTTTAATTTTTAGTTAATAATTATATAAATAATGACAGCTCCTCCATCCAGTGTGCACCAAAATGTCAAGCATTCATAAAAGGGCTCACTTACAACTTGAAGCAGAGACAGGTAACCAAGTCCAACATTATCAAAGTTCACTTTCAGGTTCTTCCATCGCACATTTTGACTAACATTCATAAGTGCAAAACACTCAGAACGATTTTCAACTTCACTTGTAGGAAACGGTGACCCATCTGTGGTGTTAACACACTGATAGAACTTGCCAGCAAACAAATTTACTCCCATGATGCTAAATATTAGCCAGAATATAAGACACACAAGTAGCACATTCATGATGGAAGGGATTGCACCTATGAGTGCATTCACGACCACCTAGCATTCAAAAGAAAGGATGATTAGGATTAGTATGAATGTTAAATGGGCAACATTAATGAAACACAATACAGAATTAAAGAAGTTAGAAAAGCCACCCTTACATGTTTAAGACATAAATCAACCAACCAACACATACTTATTGAATGCCTACTGTGTGCTCATCAGGACAAAATAAGACAGGAGCCCCTTGATCAATGAGTTTACAAAAGTACATGAGGATCACACAGTGAAACTACTAGCAACAATACAGAACAAATCACTAAGATTATATGACAGCTTAAATAAATGAAAAAAATAAATAAAAAGAATAAACCAAAAACCTGATATATGTAAGGTGAAGCCATAAAATCTGCATGCTCTAGAAAAGAAAGAAATTTATAAATTTAAACAATTAAAATAAGTAAAATGTACATTTAATGGTTCATAGTCCTAGAATTACCAGTGCTAAAATTCTCCCATATAGAGAAACTACTAGTACATATAAGCTGGAGTTAAGATTGGGAATCTTTTCACGGTTTGAATGCCATAGATTTAACTGGTTCTGCTAGTTGTGTGATATGTAAACTTAATTAAGACCTTGGGACCTCTGTTTCCTCATCTACAGAATGAGAGCTGTCTTTTCAAATTTATTATTCTAACTCTAAAAACACTTTATACATAAGCCCTTGGCTAAATATAGATAGTGCTGGCCTCAAAACAAAAAATGCAGAATAGTTTATCTTTAATACTCCCTTTATTTCTACTTTTCAGCATTTCCACTACTATTGATCACCAGTGCCTCTTGCCACCCACTGTTCCTTCATGGCGACCACTGTAGCATTTATCACCCTCCAGATTTTCTAAATTACCTCATCTTTCCAAACTTACTATCTTCTTATAGTTGACCTCTACTCTGAATTTGAGTGCAAAGGTGTTAAAGAATAACTTGTTAAGTAAAGAGCACGTGCTCCCTTTTTTCTTGCAATGTATCAAGCAGGATCCCTGACTACTTTTGAGATTGTCTAGAGCAGGAGTTGTCAAACATTTTCTTAAATATTTTTAGGTTTTGCGGATTATATGATTTCTGTTACCACTATTCCATTCTGCCATTGCAGTGATAGATCATATATAAACAAATGGGCATGGCTGTGATACAATGAAACTTCCTTTACAAAAACAGGCATCCAGCCTGTAGGCTTTGGTTGTTGACCCTTGGTCAAGAACAACAGTTATTACCCTGGGGTTCATGGGTAGACATGGACCTATAGAGGTTCCATGGGGGCATGAAATCATATGAAGAACATTATTATGGGTATGCTTTCTTTATGGAGAAATGATTTCTACTTTTATGAGATTCTTACAACGTACATGACCCCCAAAGGGTTAGGAAGAACAGAATTAGAGAGTAGAATTCCAAGTGGTCAGCTCTTATTCAAGCCTACATTTTCATCCTCATTTCCTGCCACCCTCCCACTATGCTCATAACCTAGGCACGCTGATTCTTATAGTCACTGCTCAAACACACCTTGCCTAGTCAACTCTGTCCTCTACCAAGCTGCATCTCTGCCTGGAATGCCCACCTGCCTGTGAGTTGGGGCCCATTCTTTCAGTCATGGCTGCGAGGTCACCTCCATATGAAGCCCCTCCCAGACCTCCCCAGGCAGCCACTTTCATCTCTACTCCCGTAGCACTGTGTGCCTACTGTTTTATAGCAAATGTCACAGAATAACTACTATTCCCCTCTCTGTCTCTCCATGACCACTGTCCTGGCTCACTCTTGGGGGACTGGGGTCTATTTACCATTGTACTCTTTTTATAGTACAAAATTTGACATACAGTTTTGGTGCTGAAAGAATGTGTGTAATGATGAGTCTCTGAGGGAGATGGATACATATAGTTCTGATGAGAAGCCATTTGGAAAAGTCAGTAAGTTCAAGAACCTCAAGCCTTTTTAAAGGAAGCTAACTACAAAATGCCTCCAATCATATTTCATTTATTCTTTAAAACGATCCTGCAATTTGAAGAAACATCCCTGTTTCGCACGGCTAATAAACGTAACTAAGTAGACATACTTGTCCCTCCAAATATATTAAAACATTCTCCTGCATCCAATTCACCTGTATATTAGATAAACAACAGAGAGCAAACAGGGTAAAATAATGGAGTGGCTTAATCGCTTAGGGATGTATTAATATCTTGATGGGGAAAGTATATTACTTCATCATGAGAATGTAGTACATGCTCTGCTTGAGTCCAGGGATCAGTCATAAGTTCTGAATAGATCGCAACATTCTACTAATGCTCAAAAAGAAAAATTAATGTCAACTCCAATACTACCGTTCTGTATAAAATGAAACTTGTAATTTCAATTCTTACATGACCAAAAGTACTTGACTTTTACTTATGAAAAAAAATCTTTGTATAATCATGATCTTTCATGTATTTACATGGAGGCCAACATACACCAGATACACTAACAAGTAGAGGTTACAGTCATAATTAGGTTACAGTCATAATGTAATGAAGATCTGCTAGACTAAAACACATCTAACATTCATTCACCTGAGGCTTCAGATTTCTGAGCCCCATTCCAGAGTTTATTACTCAGTATATCTGGGGTGGAACCTGGGAATTTGCATTTCTACTAAGTTTTCAGATGATGCTGACCACATTTAAGAGACGCAGTAAGCAAATTGTTCAGAGACTACAGTTAGAGAGGCAGTCGGATAAATAAATAAGTACGGTGCAATATAATGAGGATGTTATGTGTCTGAACATATAGGAAGGATGCTCAATTATACCTGGTGGTGGACAGACAAGGCACATTTAAACTGAGGCTTACAAGATGAGTAGGTATTTACTATATTGATGAGTTAGGATTGAGATAGGGCAGGGAGAAACATTCCTGGCCAAGAGAAAGGAGGAATGAGAAAGCAGGAATATATCTGGAGAAGAAGAAATTCAAGGAGAGAAGCAACAAATGAGGATATAGACTCATTAGAGAAAATAAAGCATGGATTTTATGAAGAAGTTGCTGGTTTAATACAGCCCTAAAGCTAAGTTGCTGTTAGTCATTATTTATCTCACCTTGTTTGCTTCTGCAAAATGAATCTCTTTTCAGGTACTATGCTGCCTACTGCAAATTAAGTAAAATCAGAGCTTTAGTTTTCTCAAATATAATTTGGAGCTATTTCCACTTTCACTGAGCCATGTATTTAAAGAATGAAATTCAAAGTGATGCCTGATGCTACTTTACTTCTCTGTCTTTTCTTATGCCCCACACCCAGGGTAGTTCCTTAAAAAATTGTTTGAGCACCTGATAAAAGGCAAGTCCTTCGTGACTTGTATATGAGAGATCCTGTCAGGACTAAGAGTGTCCCCTTCACCTGAGTTTCCTAGCATAGGAAAGACTCATTTAGGAAGGGAAAAGTCACTTATTTGAATCACTGCCTCACAATATAATATGGAGGCATTACTGTATTTGATTTAGTCTTTGTTAAACAATAGGCATTGAAATACTGTGTCTATATGCACATGTATACACACTTATATACATAAACAGCCCATATATACATATATATATGCACATGTGTGTAAATATAAACAGTCCATAATTCCTACATACCCATTTTTTCATATTTTATACTCCATTAGGAAATACGAATATTATATTAGAAGTTTAGTATTTTCTTACCCTCATTCCTTCAAATCTAGATAAAGCTCTCAGAGGTCTTAAGGCTCTAAGTGTCCGAAGGGATTTAATGGGGCCAAGGTCTGAGTAGCCAAGAGTGTTTGCGACCAAAGTAACCAAAGAAACCTGAAAAAGAAGAAAAATTTCATTAATCATTTCAATGAAATAATAAAGCATGAAGAGAAAGAGTCAATTTCAAAGATCACTAAGAGCAGTTCAACAAGAACAATATGATTTTATACATAATCTACTTATTGTCTAAAAATTGGATAAGATAGATGCTTTTTAAAGGAAATAGATTTAAAGGAAAGTTAACCTAAATATGATGAAATAATAGGAGGAAAGTAAGTTATTTCTTAAATCTAAATTAAAAAACACACATTCTTTTCACACTTCTGTAGTCAATGGTTTTGTACTTGCTTATTAATCCTGAACATTTAAGTAAAGCAACTATCAAAATTTCACTTGGAATAAAGCCCAGGGCATAACGAAGTGTGTGATTCTGAAGCTAAGTTAAAAGAGTGTGGCAATCACTCAACCAAATCTAAGTCCCAGTATAGACCTTTTTCAAAAGCACTCTGAAGACTTATGACTTTGAGATGAGGCAAATTCCCCAGAAGATTATTCTGACCTACAGTTTCTCAGAATTGGCATCAAAGATCTTCCTATCAATAATTAGTGGGAGAAAATCTCAACTGTACTGAAGAGAGCACACAAGCAGGTGATCTCACTGGCTTCACAAACAACAAAGACACACAAGAACTTCGTCCTATTAGACGGACCCTCCACAATCACCATCACCAGTATCCAACAGAAATTTGTGTTCTTATTGTAAGTTATCTCAGAAGAAAGAACATGGACAGAAGTAAAATCAATACATGTTTTGGTAAGGACCAATGAGCTCTTCAATGACCCAAGATCTGGATCGGTAAATGTATTCAGTCTTTGAATAAGTTCCATTTAAAATATTAATTGTTTCACACTGCGTGTAGCAGGAGGCAATGCCTGAGAACAATGTCCGCAATGCAGTTCATTGGAATTAAGTAATGACTGAGAGATTGAAGTTTTCCAGGAAAGATTAGGAGCAACAGGAAAGTCAAGTTCCTTATGTTTAACTATTGAAGGAGTAGAAAAATTTATTGCTTGCAAGTTCACTACTGCTGCTATCAGAAACACAATGAACTGATTTTTGAATCAGGATGTGTTGAAGTGTTTTGCTCTCATACAGTTACTTCTAAATGTCTCACTAAATGTAACATAATTCTTTGTTTTTAGGTCCTCATGCTATGTATTCAGAATTACTAACTAATCCTCAGTATCACTCTTAAATTCACCCAGTCATTCAGGTCCATTATTTCCCACTTAAGTATGCTTTAAAAAATGTGTTTTGTTTTTTTTTTTGTGGTACGCGGGCCTCTCACTGTTGTGGCCTCTCCCATTGCGCAGCACAGGCTCTGGACGCACAGGCCCAGCGGCCACGGCTCACGGGCCCAGCCGCTCCGCGGCATGTGGGATCTTCCTGGACCGGGGCACGAACCCGTGTCCCCTTCATCGGCAGGCAGACTCTCAACCACTGCGCCACCAGGGAAGCCCAAAAATGTGTATTTTTTAATCAGAATAATAAATGTTCCTTTTTAATCAGGAAAAAATAAAGGTTTAAAATGTCTATTATAATTTGAATAACCCCTAAGGAAATGGTTAACCTGATCTCCAAACCACTGTTAAATGAGTGTTATTATATTGAATATATGTAGTCTGTAACTGAGAACATATGTATATGCATATATTTACCTATTTATGTATACATGTGTATGTGCATGATATATGCCCCTACTGATGAATAATGCTCAATCAAGTAAGTTTCAACTAATCAGGAAGCTTGCAGAAATCAAACAAATCCATCCTCTGAATATCAAATCAAAAGAATATCAAATCAGGTTCTGAAACCTGAATATGTAGCAGAATCATCTGGAGATCTTATTACAAGAATTTTCTGGGTCCCAACACCAGAGTTTCCGATTTAGTAGCACTTGAGTGGGACCTGAGAATTTGTATCTATAACAAGTTCCCACCCACATGTGCCAATGTTGTTGGTTCAGGGATTACACTCTGAGAGCAACTGTGCTAGATAAATTTCTCAATTTTTGAGAAACAAAAAAAATCTCAGCTCCTCCCCAAAATCCACATGCCTAGATTTGCACCTCTATCAGCAAGAAAATTGAGTGGAGTTTTGCTCTCTCTGTTGCATTATGAAAACATTATATATATATAATATAATTATATGCGTTATGTGTGTGTGTGTGTATATATATATATATATACCCAAACACACACATATATATATAATTTATTTAGTTTTTTCAAAATGTTAAATATTTCAAATTGAAGCTACATAACTTCCCTGAATTCTGTATATTACATACCCCTAAATATTGAGAAGCACGACTTCAGATTTTCAAATACAAAAAAATTTCATTATTAAATAGCCATATCTCTTTCTTAGCTAAAAATAAATTCAACTGTACTTGTAAACGTTTTTTTTAATCTGAGAGATGAAAAGAACACTGACAATATTTTTAAAAGTTTCTGAATATCATATATTTTATAATTTTTAAAAGATGCAATCATATTTACAGGTTAAGAGAAAAGAAATAATCTACATTCCTTCTATTATTTCTTATTTTGGTTAGCCTTTCTTTAAAACTATTGTATTACAAAAGTGTTCATCTTACCATTCATTTTTCTAGGCACTAACTATGTCACGTATATGAAAAAAAGGTGAATCAAAAAATAATCAAACATGAAATCATTAACATACAGTATCAAAAATTAAATATCTCATAGAGGAAGTCAGAGAACATAGGAGATATAACGTATAGCTATGCCTGCCTTGGAAAAAAATTGTTTTTGCATATCACCTATCTAAATATGATAATATTTAACATTAGTGAAGGTTCTTGAGAACACTTATTTGTAAGAATAAATCCCCTTTTAAAATTTACTCAAAAGTACCTACATCGACAATTAAGAAATCCAGCCAACACCAGGCATTGGTGAAATAGGTTTTATAACCATATGCTATCCATTTTAGAAGCATTTCCAGAATAAAGATGTAAGTGAATATCTTGTCAGCATACTCTAGGATAATCTTAATGGTCTTTTTCTTTTCAATATATATATCTTCAAAAGCCTGTGAAAATAATATTCAGATTTAAATTTGGTACAACTCAAAGCTTATGATTCATGACAAAAACAGGAAATGAAATTCCGATAAAGAGACCACTGAGATATAATACTATTACAGGCCAGCTGTCTTTCTTCTGGTTTACAGTTACTGTGTAACACTTAGTTCTAGCCTTTGCACCAGTGCAGGGGGCTGATCACCAGAGGTCAAGAGAAAGAGAGTGCAAAAGAATGAAATTATTTATAGTTCCCTAAAAGAACCATGATCTCTGACACATTCAGGGATTTCCACTCATCTACCTCCCCTTTTATCCTCCTTCAAATTAGGTAAGTCCTAGTAATTTAAGACATGATTCCAGGGTCAGCCCCTTTTATAAACCTCTCTAACCCTGCACTCTACTTCGACACAGAAATAGGATTTAAGCCCTCTCCTTCAGCTCTTATGTGCTCGTACATTCCCAGTGCCTAGCACTGTGTCAAGAACACAGCAGGAAAGGTTTGCCAAATGAAGGAATGCAGTAGCTTAATAGGGCTATAGAACACAGATGATGGTTTCTTCCTTTGAATTTTGCACCAATACTTTATCATTCATTAAAAGTTTCAGCTCTACAAATCACTGTTATATTTATTCCATCAATGTGACATCTTTTAACACTTTCCAAGAAATTTTAGTAAGTGATAGACGATGGTACTGTGGTCATAGCCACAAGGCCCGTGGGAAATAATTTGAATGGACTTAAAGAACTGATCTCACTGAAGCCACTGAAAATCACTGCTGACCTAAACAGGTCTAAAGTATTAGATTTTTCTCTTTCAAGTTTAAACAATATTCACTTTGTTGGAGAAAATGAAAGCAAAAGGACCTGTATCCTTGGTGGTAACACTGGACTACCTGTCAATAATCATGGGCTTGTGCCATTCTTATTCTTCTTATTCCAAGTTCTTATATCAATACTTTAAAAATGATCCTTAGCACTTTTGGAGAAATGTAATCCTCAATATTGAAGAAAACAGAGAAGTTGGAACAGAGAGAATGGACAGATCCATGAAGATGCTGAGAGAAGGTTCTAGCAGCTAGCAGAGGTTCTGAAAGACAATGGAACTGAAAGGCAAGAACTGAAGTGCAGCCCTCAGGACTCTTCTGCTTCCCTTCTCCGAGTTCTGGAAGAACATCTACCGTTCTGAAATCCTAAGCAGACAACACTTCCTGCTCCAGAGCTTAATCATGCATATATTTCACTTACAAACACATCCCAATTCTGTATCACTTGTGCCTCTCACTTCCCTAATGCTCTCTGAGCTCCTTGAGAAAAGTACCTGGATCTTATCCAACTTTGCATTCAGGGCAGCAAGAATAATGCCAGGCATGGAGTAAATATTTACTGAGCTAACTAAAATTTTGTCCTTGGGACTGATCAGAGGGATTAATTTTTAAGTAAAACCATTTGCCATGATATTTTTATCTTCAACTCATCTATTAAAAATAATGACTTAATTGATTTAAGCCTTAGATGTCAGATCACTTACCAGAGCACCACTGCTAAGCAAGATCATGAGAACAATGAAGCTTTCAAACCAACTGTGCTCAACTATCCTATAGCAGGTCTTCCTGATGTTCCACCAGATTTTTCCTTTCCCTGATTCTGTGTTAACTTGGCAGCATGGGAGCCTCTGCACACAACCTGGCAAGAAAGACAGGCATGTAAAATCTGGATATTCAGAATACATAAAATACTTAACATACATTATTTAATGCAAAGCGCTCCCTACGATAGTTCCTCAACCAAATAATTTCTAACACTTACACCTGAAGCTTCAAATAGTTTCAACTTGGATGCTGCCTTTTCTCACCTCTTAACTCTCCCTGGTGTTTTCTTAATATTTGTACCAGTAATTTCTAACTTGGGATGTATTCGTGTTTTCTGTTCTTCCCTAGTTTCTCATCAATCTCCTCTACAGTGTTTAAACCACATATTGTTCTTTTTATGATTGCAGCCCTAATGTAATCCTAATACACAATGAGCAGCAAATAATTATTGGTTAACGAATGAACTAAAATCTCAAGACAAAAATGTATTTCATGGCCTTCTTGATATGAATTTAGTCTACAGTCTGGTGCTGCTTCAACTCCTCTATAAAAAACCCTTTGAGAAACAGCATTCTATGTAATACTTTAAAAATTAGTAGAAGGTCTTATAATTCAGTTCAAAAGAAACAGATCTTGATTACAAGAAACAGATGAAACTGTTTCAAGTACTATAAGTTAAAAACAAATCTGACTTTGGAATCCCAGATGTAAAACACACTGCTATAAAAAACTGAAGAATATTTTATTTAAAGTTGTTTAGGTTAATTCATTCATATCCCCATCAAACATTTATTGATTAACCTTTTTACTCAGCTGTGTACATAGTTTCCTCTCCTCAAGATATCTATTACTGGTTTTTGGTTAGGCGGCTAGATATAGAAATAAATGACTATAACTGGATAATGCAACTAAAATGACAGATATGCTGGGGTTATGTTTGATAGCTTGGAAGAAATTCACCTAACCTGGCTTATTTGTTGAGAAAGTGAGGTCAGAGGAGGTTTGCTGGAAGAGGTGGGACCTGAACTGAATCAAAGTAGTAGCCAAAAAGAGTGGAGTGGAATTCCAGGCCAAGAGGCAGCAAAATGTGCCGTGTACAGGACTTACAAGTAGTTCAGACTTTTGATGAAAGCAAAGTGTACAGAAAAGGCATGGATGAGAGATAAGGTAGAGAAACTGGTCAGATTATGGAAAGCATTTTCTCCCACCTTAAGGAGTTTGGCTATATCCTAAATCCTAACGAGGAGTAAGTGAAGGGTTGTAAGCAGAAAATTACATAGGAAGATTGTAATTTATTTATTTATTTATTTATTTATTTATTTATTTATTTATTTATTTATTTATTTATTTTGCTGTACACGGGCCTCTCACTGTTGTGGCCTCTCCCGTTGCGGAGCACAGGCTCCGGACGCACAGGCTCAGCGGCCATGGCTCACGGGCACAGCCGCTCCGCGGCATGTGGGATCTTCCCAGACCGGGGCACGAACCCGTGTCCCCTGCATCGGCAGGCGGACTCTCAACCACTGCGCCACCAGGGAAGCCCGAAGATTGTAATTTAAATAGATGCCTCCAGCAACTGTGGAGGATAAGCTGGAAGAGAAGAAGAAGGAGGGGTGGGGAGCAAAGAAACACCCAGAGCTAGAAAACCATTTAGGGTCTGGTTCAGTATCCCCAACAAGAAGCATAGATTTGGGCAGCTCTGGTTAGGAACTAGAGCAATAACAGAGTCAAGACATATTTGGCCGGTAAAATCAACACATTTGCTGACTGATTGGATATGGGATGTAAGAGGAAGGGAGAAGCCCAGACAACTGGGTGGATGTCAGTAATGAAATGAAGACCACAGGAACAGGAGCTGCTTGGGGTGGTAATGAGTTTGAGATGCCAGTGAAACCTCTAAACACAGACATCCTGTAGATATTTGGAGGTGTGAATCTCTGAAGCTCAGGGGAAAAGTCTGGGTTGGAAAAGAATGTGTAGGAATCATTAGCACATATGTGTCAGCTGAGATCAGGACAGTTGTTGAGGTCACACACAAAAAAGTATTTAGGATGAGGAGAGAAAAGGGTCAAGTCTGGAACATTCTGGGACAGCAATATTAAGAGACAGAATTCAGTGGTATGCTGGAGCCAACTCATACTGGCTCTTGACAACTTATTGTTAAATTGCCAGGAAATTTTGCTAGCCTGCTGTTAAATGCAGCTGTTATCAAAAATTAAATTGTATAAACTTAAAAGTATAACTTACTTTAAAAAGGTAATAAATACTAAAAATATATTACTCTACATTTTACTATTTTCTATGCTCTTGAATATATTTAAGCATTCTATCTGGTTGGTAGAGTATGTTATACTGTTGGGCTACTATGTATCTCTTCCCAACTCTACATGCAGCCAAGTCACACCAGTAGTTTGAGATTAGCCATGGTGGGAATCTTTACAAAAGTCATCAAATGCTGTAAATCCAGGTTTGTTGATTTTCTAGAGTAGAATTAAGAAAGTGATGGAGAAAATGTTAATAAAACTGGGAAAGTATGCCATATTGGTAGCCATTACACTGTGAATAGCACAAAAAATTGAGGAACTATTCTTTCATTATTCGAATTCTATTATCTGATTCAGCAAAGATTTGTTCACATCATTGATGAATGAGTCAAGTTCTGACACACAGCCTTTTTGTTTCACTCTCACCTTACTGATTAATGTAAATGAAAATACCAACCAACCTTCAGGTTAAAACTATACTTGTTCATCAGTTGCAACCACTGTTGTTTATAAATACAAAATTTTGGCAAAATTCAACAAAAGCATTCTGTGGGAACCAATTAGCTATATGAATGTTCAATGAAGGATGTTGATTATATTACTGCCTGTAAATTGTGTACCACATATCCTTTATATCAGTAAAATATACGGTAAACTAATGGATGTATGCATACTTTCTTTTTCTTGGAGAACTGGTTGTTAAACATTTACCTGTCCACCACAGGGAAAGGTGGAAGATGAGAAAACCCTGAAGGAGGTGACAAAGTCGGGGTGGGGAAAATGTACAAGAGGCTGCAGTAAAAGAAAAGTCAGGGAAGAGTTTCCTGAAGGACTGGTGAACACAGCTATGACCAAGAGAGGCTCAGAGAGATTGTGATTGAAATTAAAAAAAAATTAAAGTTGATTAAAAAACAATCAAAATTACTTTGAAAAAGGAAGAATTTAAAAGGAGGAATTACAGTGAATTCTTCTCTTAAAAATTTTAGATCAAAAACCTCGTTTGGAGGGAATGTAGAAGGTGGGAAAGCAAGAATGAACAGCACTTTTTAGAGACTTATTTTAGAAGTTTGCAAGTTAGGCACTCTAAAAATAATTTACTTGTCTATAAAACAATGTATTTCATTAAAAATATTGAGCCTATCAAGTAATAACTTCATATAATCATAAGCTCTCTGTCCTGAAACAACAAAGGTAGAATTCTCTTGATGAAATACATTTTTTGGACAATGTCTTGTTATGGCTTCTTTTACGATTCTGTAGTGAAATTAATTCATTGATCCTTAATACGAGATTATCTCCTAGTACTTTAATTTCCAGTTTTATAGAAATGTAGCAAGTTATGTTTTTCTCCCAAGTCTGACATTTTTGCTAACAATTTTATGTGTTCTTGTCCTTTCTCTCTGGAAACTTCTAAGTTCCCAGAAGGCTGAACTGTGCCTGTTATGCCCTTTCTTTCTGCTCACAGTACTTACTACAATCCTCTACATAGATTCACATGCTGGGATAGTTGACTTAAAAGACATAACCCCCCAAAAAAGAGTTCTAAAATCATCTAAGCATTAGTCATGATCTGAAGGATCATGTCTTTGTGAATTCTAGAATTTACACAAAGTTTGGATGAAATAGAAAAAAAAAAAAAAACAACAGGGTGAAAGGAAAATATACACATGGCTTCATTTATCCAATGTTAATTACAGTTCACATGACCTCAGATCTGAAAGAATTTATCTTCATTGTATCTAAAACAATTACTTTATATCTCAAATGCATTTAGTAAAGAAAGAATATTTTATAAAATGATATGAAAAAATAGTAAAAGGTAAGGCCAAAAATTGACACCAGATCATCTTTTTCAGGGCAAAAGAAAACACCAGATAGAGTGGAAAAATTTTGGAATTTTTTTTACTAACTTAATGCTTGAGACTTTAGAATTTATTTTAAAAACAAAGATCTTGTGCAGAACAGAATCTGTCTGCATCAAGTATAATTACCAGAGGAGAAAGTTATCTCTTTGGTTAAGAAGATTTTACTATTGGGATTTCTTTTTGTAGGTCTTAAGGTGGAAGAGAAATATTATTCTTATGATTGAGGCAGGAAAAGGCACTATATATTCTAATTAGAAAAGTAAGTAAACTTTTTATCTGAGAGGAAGGTTCATAATCATTGTCCTCAGGATTTATCACACCTCAGAGACTTTCTCTCTTATTTTGAGCAGTAGAATAGGACCACTGCCTGTCTAGTTTTTATGCAAAGGCATATCCCAAGAGATTTCCAACCTAGCTGGTTAGCAACGTTATATCACACCTTCTTTTTTAAAAGGACTATTAATTAAATGTAAATACAGCACAGAATGTCTCAAACATTTTAATAGGTCCCCATGGGTAAATACTATTTATTTTGGGTGGTTTCATTAATTTGCTCTTGTGATCCATTAAATAAAATCTCTATTGTGTTTCATCATGTTAAACTAATGCTTTCAAATAAAAAAGAAACCACAGGCCTCTTCTAAGTTTAGCCATTAATAAAAATATAACAGCATGATCAGTATAATTAATATAATAATTTATTAGGAAAACATGTCTTTTTTTAAACACTTCTTAAAAACTTCTAAATCCTTTAAAACAAGTTTTCTGTCCACATTTTCTTTCCATAAAAATAGGCACAAAGGAGTTGGTTATTGTGTTACTAAACTTAGAATTAGTTATTAGTTATTTTATAGGAAGTGGAACTCAGAACATTTTGGGGGAAAGTTGAGTTAGCGCCTCCTACTAAATTAATAGAAAATACATTATTTTAAGGAAGAGTGTATCCTTCTCACACCCTAATCTTGATTTTGTGAGTTACTAATTGTATAATCCAAAAGGAGTATAATATAAAACGAAGCAGAATCAAAGTCATGTCATATTCATAATTATATAGATTGCAAAGACATGTAGAATTAAGGATAGTGAAGAACGGTACCAGATCTGGGGAAGGTACCTGAAGTCTTGAATGATAAAGCTAATGAAACAGAACTAAGGAAAAACACAGAGTAAGAGGGAGGAGAAAAAGGTAAAGAGAAACAAGATGCAAATGAATAAAGTGATAGTTATGAAGTTAAAAAGGATCAATGGATGTGAGGCTATGAACAACAGAATCATTTTAGCATTCGTCTTCACTGAAACACAACTATTCTGATTTAACTCTCCCACTTCCTTTGATTTTTCTGCTGCCTTTCAGGTAACAAAAACCTCTAGAGGCCAAATGCTGCTCTAAATTGTCACTGGTTCAAGCGCAACACTTGTCAACCAATCACGACTTGGTAAGGGTCATTTCCACTATGAGTACACAAGTTCCCAATTTTCCATCCTGTCAAGCCCACTTATTTTGAATTCTTCATGTGGAAACCATCTATTTCCAGTTTCTTGAGGCCCCAAGCTTGGTGTCATCTTTGACTCTTCTGAAGAGAAGAAAGCTTTAACACCCAACATCGAATCCACCAGCAAATCCCTTCAGCTTTAACTTGAAAATATACTCAGAATCTCATACTCTCACCATCCCCAATACTCCCACAGTAGTCTATGCTCCCATCATCTCTCACCTGGATTACCGCAGGGACATCCAAGAGGTTTCCAGCTTCTGCCCTTGCTATCCACCTATCTGCTCTTAAGATGGCATTTTGTGAGACTTCTAAATGAGATTCTTATGTTTTTCAGTGCTGTTGAGATCTGGCTTCTACTGTGTCTCTAACCTCAACTTCTACCACCCTTTCCACTTCTCAATCTGTTCTACTCATACCGGCCTCTTGATTTTGTTTTCAAATGTGCATATCGCCACTTCAGGGCATGTGCCTTCATTACTCTGCTTAAAATACTCTTCCTTCATATATTTGCATGGTCCAATGTTAGCTTTTTAGAAAGGCCTTCTCGGACCACTCTATTTGTATGAGAGTAGGCTTCTACCCCTCAATCTTAGTATTCCCATTTTCACTTTACTTCTCCATAGCATGTATCACTTATCAGACCTACTAAATATTTATCTATTTATTTGGGTAAGAAACATTGTTTTGTTTTCCCTGCTCTATCTCTGTCTAGTGCTCAGGTCTGGGCCTGGCAGACAGAAGGTATTAAACGATTATTTGCTGATTGGATAAAAGAATGATTAAGTGGATAAAGGGTTGAAGGGCTCAGAAAATTGGTTGCCCTGTTTAATTTATCAGGCTGAGCCTCTTAGCCCTCTAGTGGAGCACAGCTGCTCAAAGTGATATGACTCAGAGATGTGTGTTTGCTAGTAGATTTTCTTGTCATTTTAAAAAATATATTTATCTGTTTATTTACATTTTTATTGAGAACATACATACAGTATAGTATGCATATTTTAAGTATATAGATTGATATTCTCATCTAACAGCCATGTAGGTCATGATATAACATTTCCAAGCACCCAGAAATCACCCTCATGCCCTTTCCCAATCTGTACCCCCTAAAGGTAACTACTAGTCTGACTTCTATCTTTGTAGATTGATTTTGCCTATTCTCCTATTTTGCCCATTTTTTCCAGCTTTACTGAGGTATAATTGACAATGAAAAATTGTATATATTTAAGGTGTACAACTTGATGATTTGATATAGGTTTATACTGTGAAATAATCACCACAATCAAGTAATTAAATTGCTGTTACCTCACGTAGTTACCAATTTCTTCTTTTTGGGTGAGTTGAGAACATTTAAGATCTACCCTCAGCAAATTTCAAGTACACAACACGGTATTGTTAACTATACTCATATTGTTGTCCATTAGATTTCCAGAATGCATTCATCTTGTACAACTGAAACTTTGGTTCTCAGTAAATTTTCAGTGGTCAAGACCACAATTCACTGAAAATGTGTTTCTATAATATCTCTTATATACTAGACTCAAATTAGAAGTTATGAATAATCTCAAAGTCATTATATAAGTATTCTCATTGGTGTTTTATAGGATTAAAATAACTTTTGTAAAGTTTGATCTCAGTAAGATAGCACCTACAGTCTGAAATAGCTTAGCATTAATACTTTCTGCAGAGGTTTAAGTTTTTCTAAAGCCCTTTTCTGATATAGAGCCATAATTTGTTTGATAAGCCCAACTTCTTTCTGGTTATCCTAGAATTTTAAGTCAGGGTCATTCATAAAATGTGTGGAAGAAATCTTGGTAGCATCCGTACAAATTTAAGTTTACATGGTACTAGTCAATTTAATTTTATCATGATGCTTAAATACATGATGATACTCTTAAATGCCTTTAACATGAACACTTCTAAAGAAAACTCCATGTGTTTTGCTTATGGTACTAATTTGAGCTAACACAAATTTCTATTAATTGGGTGTCACACTTTTTTGCTTCTCACACACAAAAAATGACATTTGGCTTTAATTTAAAGAGAATTCATGCATCCATTACAGTTTGTAGATATCTTTATTTGCCGGTCATTTTGTTTACTGCATGAGTGTTATAGGAGACTGGTTGAGAAAATCTTGAAGAATGAAAGCGAGTCAGTGATTTCTACAAAAAACCACAAATGCTGAGAGTTTAAGCCCATGAGTAGATCGTGAGCCATTAGCATCAAGGCTACCATTGCTTCTAGATAAGATTGTTAACAAAATACTTTAAAAACAATAAGGAAACTAGAAGATGAAAGACAGTATTGTGCTAATTTATTAATGCTATCTCATTTAATCTCCTCAACATCCCTATGATATGGATGTAAAATGTACCCATTTTACAGATAAGGCGTCTGAGATACAAGATTAAAATGTGCTCAAGGTCTCATAGAGAGTTAGCAGTAGGTCAATTAGAACTCATATTTATCATGCTCCAAAGCTTGTACAATAGATTATTGTATTACATTGCAACCCTACTCTAGGTTTGCGTTTTTACTTAGATGACACAATACTTGCTTAGAAAACTGCATACTTTCCCAAGTCAAGTTCAAAGTTACTGCTTTGAATAAAATCCCTGAAAAATTCCAGGAGTAGTAAGAAGTTCAGTAAGACAGAAGGTGAAAAGGAATGAAAAGAGGCAGTTATAAAATAAGACACTGAGGCCAAATGTAAAGGGACTTACATGCCAAGTTAAGGACTTCAGGTTTTATCCTACCAATGGTTCTCAAATTTTAGTGTGCATCAAAATCCCCTGAAGGACTCGGACCCTATCTCCAGAGTTTCTGATCAACTTATGTGTTTTGTGATCAACCTGTGGCTTAGAAAGGGAGAGGTTAGGACTGACTTAAAGTCTAGCTTGAGAGGCAAGATAGATCATGACGTCACTAAATGCGATAGAGACTGGAAGAAGCTGTAGATTACATGTGGAAACCCCACTGAAGTTTGTTTTGAACTTATTCAACTGTTGTTTAAAGACAACAGGTGGAGATGAGCAATGGTGAGCTGTAGGCAGACCTGGAACTTGAATGAAGTCAGGGGTAAAGATAAAAATTTAAGAGCAACAACACAGAAATGGTTGCTTACACCACAGACATGGATGAAACCGCTTAGGGCTAGAGAATAAGAGAAGTAGATAACCAAGCATCAAAATGTGGGGAAACATCATTATTTAAGGTTTGTGCATAAAAAATAGTCACTAAGGGCTTCCCTGGTGGCGCAGTGGTTGAGAATCCGCCTGCCGGTGCGGGGGACACGGGTTCGAGCCCCGGTCTGGGAGGATCCCACATGCCGCGGAGCAGCTAAGCCCGTGAGCCACAACTACTGAGCCTGCGCGTCTGGAGCCTGTGCTCCGCAACAAGAGAGGCCGCGACAGTGAGAGGCCCGCGCACCACGATGAAGACGGGCCCCCGCTCGCCACTACTAGAGAAAGCCCTCGCGCAGAAACGAAGACCCAACACAGCCATAAATAAATAAATTAAAAAAAAAAAAAGTCACTAAAAGAAACAGGGGAAGAAACTCAGAATTCTCAGTGATGTTAAAAAAAGAACAAAAGTAGAGTGCGGCCTCTGACCAAGGGAAGGAAGAAGTTTGAGACCGACTATGGTCAACTGTCTCAAATGGTTTCCTGACAGAGTAGCTCCAGCTTTTGATGAAAAGGACAACAGTACCATCTACCCCATTAATTTGTTTACTGGTTCCATGGAGCTGAGAACATGAATTTAGGATCTAAAGGAGAATATGAACATCTTTCAGTAAGTAGAGTGCTATATAGTATAACAGCGTCATCGTCATAAATTACTGTTAGTAGCATATCATAAGTGTGGAAACTGAAGCTTAGAAAGCTCCAGCAACTTGCCCTTAGGCACAGAGCCATGACTGAATCAGCATGGAATAGAGCCTTCTGACTTTTTACTCATCAACCCCCAGTAAGTATTAGGTTTTAAGACCAAAGCCAAAACACTAATAAATGGCTGCTAACTGAGGTCTCAATTTTTCTCTTACCATCTGTAAAACAGGCCTCTGGCTCATCTGAATTTACAGGTTCAGCCTCTGCTTCCTCTCCTTCTCCTGGCACAGGGTTATCAACTGTGCTGCACTCAGAGGAACTCGATCTGTTCAGCCTCTAAAAAGAAATTCACCACCCCACCAGAGAGTTCATTTAGGGTTCATTCAAATCTTGCATTAAAACCATATTTGATAATCAGAGTCATGCAAAGTGTTATGAAAAGAGATTAACAGTATGATGGCCATAAAAACATATAAACATACATTGAGGTCAGGTCACCTTACAATGCATCTGTGCTTGATCTTTCTATCTACACATCCTGTGAAAAATACATTTCCTTATTTTTCGTATGCTAACAAGTTATGGACAGAATTAGTCTTAAGGTAATATTTTTATGTAAACTATAACATCTGCAAAGTATTGGCCACATTTTTATTTTGTTTTATGTTTAATATAAATTTGTATACACCAATAATTACTATTTTAGAACAACCAAGACCCTGATAGAAATAATATACAAGTGCCAAATTGCCAACACCTGATAATTGAAAGGTCAGATCTGACAACTGGCAGAAAAAGCTTGTTGGTACTTAAAATTTTTAAAAAGAATAAAATCAGTGTCAAATGAAATCCAAACGTATTTTTTTCTATTAACACTTGGATTTGAGAATATGTATCAGGATGATATAGATAGAAGGCCTTTCATCAAAACAACAAAAGTCAAATACTGTATTGGAATCAAAATGTCAAAGACCATAGTAAATTATCTTATCCAATACCACCTATTTCAGTGATAGAATTTCAGGATACAGTAGAAGAGATCATAAATATTATTTATAATGTCAAGAGATAGTGGCTACTAAAGTGAGCACCACATGCAAACTCTGAAACAAAGACTCCATGAAATTGAACATGGCAGACCAACACATGAGAGGAATGAACTCATTGTCATTATGATCATAAAACTGATCATAACACAAATTTTCCCCACCCAGAACTTTGTGATCAAACATGATGTTTACACACATACACATACACAGAAAGTTTTAGATAAAATACATACAGCAATTGTAGCAAAACTGTGTCAAATTTTCCTAATATTATTTTATAAGGGGTAGAGCAGCACATCAATGGAAGAGTTCAATTTTCATTCTCATTTGCTAAACGACATGTGAATATTGAAAACTACTAGTTATTATAGCATGTACTTCTCTTAATAAGATTACAGTTTTACTTGTTTTTTTTTAAGAATAATTCAAACAAATGTAAGTGCTAAAAATGATGAAATACTTATTTCATTTAAATTGATTCTTCAATCTATTGATTTGCATTAAGATCATAGGCCCAAACTAAAATATTAACTTTTAGAGAATGACTTTGGAAGCTAAAAGTATACTTTATGGGTACCACATTAAATTCTCAGTGCTATTATTATCACACAGTATTCAATATCAGTAAAAAAGACATTGATAAGAATTGAACATAAGGAATGATGTAAGCAAAGTGGTTTGTATAACTGAGGTAAAGAATTATGAACACTCTATTAAATTAATACTTCTAATCTACATTGGCATAGAAGTATTATTCCCACGTAGTCGAAGAGTTTTAAAATATTACGTTATTAACAGTATCAATATGAAATTTCACTTAAGAAGCAGGTTATTTAAACTGATTGAATTCATCTAAAATTACTTTAAAAAAACAAATACAAATTAATTGTAAGACAATATCCTGTAAGACTTAGGTTTTAAAATATATATTACTCCAGGAAACGATGGGGAAACTTGTAATTATTAATATGTCCTATTGTGCCAATTACCACAAGAACCCATTTTAAGTACCATATCTAAAAGACTACAATTATTTGATGTCCTCAATTCTTGACCTTTCAGTTGCAAGTGAACTGTCACTAGGGAATTGAAGGACAAGGCACTACGATTCTGTGGAGATGAGACCAAACATTTCCATGCTGAAAAGAAGTTATTGGTTTGGACCTTGAGGAAAAGCAGTGGGTGAAACAGCTGATAGAATACAAAGTTCCTCCCTGCTATTAGCCAAAATGCTGACAACTAGGATAGAGTTATAATGATTTTCTCTCACCCTGTAACAACTTTTAAATAAAATGTTTCAAATCTGCAGAACCCTGATGTATATGTTAAATTAATAAAAGCATCTTCAACCTCAAATTTGGTTTTCTCACTCTTTAAAAGAGCATTAACAAAGCAGACTTATGCCAAGTTAATTTATAAGTAAAAATTAAGATGATTTTATGACGTGTATTCTTGCCATTGAAGCCTCCCCCGCCCCATAACTTTTTTTTTTTTTAGGCTCCGGACGCGCAGGCTCAGCGGCCATGGCTCACGGGCCCAGCCGCTCCGCGGCACGCGGGATCCTCCCGAAACGGGGCACGAACCCGCGTCCCCTGCATCGGCAGGCGGACTCTCAAGCACTGCGCCACCAGGGAAGCCCCCCCCATAACTTTTATGGCAATTTTTTGTCAATTAAATTCGGAGTTTGGCTCGGATCTTACATCATGAATGACAGTTATTCAAAATTATTCCTCACTGGAACAGAAATTATCAAAATATTTAATATGAACTATAACTTGTATCACAAGCCAAATTCAATGTTCAGAATGTTTTTAGGAATTCAATGTTTTCCTGGGAATGCATTAAGTATTCACAAGTAGCTGTTTCAAAGATGTCATGTTTAAAGTACATGCTATAAGGCTGTTTGCTTCACAGCAAACAGGATATTTTTAAATACAAAGGATATTTTAAAATAGAAAGGCTAACATCTATTACAAAGGTTTTCTCTTGAAGGTAAATTCTTTTAAATCTCATAGTAGGCATTGCTAGATTTAACTATTGAATCTTCTTTTATTCTTGTTTAGTATACAGTGAAGATCAAGTCAATCATTTGTATCATTTTATATAATTAATTATATGATTATTTTCATTTCTGTATACTCAATCATTTACTATTTAGTTTTCTTGTGATTTTGGAAATGGAAGACTAATTATACTAAGAGCAGTGAAATAAATACTTCAGTATGAAAAAGTTCCCTTCTGGTTTTATAAATAGGTCATTTTAAAATTTCACGTCGATTTTATTTTTAGTAAAATGTGAAATATACTTTTTGTCTATTACTTCTTTGCTTGTCAACAAAGATAATTTTTAATATTTGGTGGTCTACATATAAATAGAAATAAGTGTAAAAATAGGACCATAAAGGTAGACTCACTAGTATAGTAGAGAATAGGAAATATGCTATAGTTAGCATTTCTGCCTTTTTATTAAATAATATGGTATTGACTGTAGGTCCTTTCTAATTTTTTTCTTTCTTTCCTTTAAATAAAACCTATACACTCGATTCAAAAATTTTAAAGGTACAATAGCATGTGATGAAAAATACAAGTCCCCTCCACTCTCGTCCTGATTCTATTTCCTTTAGGTAATTACTATACTATATATATGTACTTTTTGACATGTCTTTCTATTTTCTTCAATGAGCATATGCATAAAACACCGAAGTAGTTTTGAAACATCCTACTCTTTTTTTTTTTTTTTTTTTTTTTTTGCGGTACGCGGACCTCTCACTGTTGTGGCCTCTCCCGTTGCGGAGCACAGGCTCCGGACATGCAGGCTCAGCGGCCATGGCTCACGGGCCCAGCCACTCCGCGGCATGTGGGATCTTCCCGAACCGGGGCACGAACCCATGTCCCCTGCATCGGCAGGCGGACTCTCAACCACTGCGCCAGCAGGGAAGCCCGAAACATCCTACTCTTGATTATAAACTTATGTAGCTATTTCACTATTGAAAATATGATCAAATTAAAGCTTAATTATTCTTCATGGATCTCCTTTTGTCTTGAAAGTGTGTTTTCTCCAACACTGCATATAAGTAGAAACTCTGTTAAATATAGGTGTCATATGAAAAACTGCCCTAGGCTGGTCACTTACAAATTTGTTACTGTCATTTCCTGAAATAGGCGATCTCATTGTAAGCCTATTTGATGCTAGTATAGGATGGTGGTTAATGCTAGTTGGTCATTTATTTCGAGAGGTATGAAGTAGGATTGTCTAATAACTTGACAATCTGGCACTCAAAATCAAAAACACTATCAACATATAGCAGCACTGTAGAAAACACAGAACTCAACAAAAGCCTTATTCAAAGAGGATGGTTGCTGTTGAAAACATCCTTAAAGTACGTGCTATAAGGCTGTTTGCTTCACACAACACAAGAAAGGTATTCTTTGAGTAGCAGAGTCTAGAATAGTTATTTCACCTGAACGTCCAAACAAAAAAACCCAAAGGACAGCAAGAAGACTGAAAGAAGCAAATCAAAAGGAAGGGATGGGCATATAAGGGCAGAAAAATTATGGGAGACATTAGTGATACACTAAGCTCCACTGTATGTCAATAAACAAGAAAGATTTTTATTAGAGTTAAATCAATATCACCCATCTTCTAATTTTATAGCCTAATTTTACAACTGATATCTATAATGAGGGTTCTGAATCTATAATGAGGAGTAAAATGGTAAAGTTTAGAATAAAGGATCAAAGAACATTTACAGAGGAATTCCACAGATAGCTACTATGCTTTGTGAGAGAAGTCCAATGTTTTTCCAAGTTTACCATTCTATTATGGGATAACTTGAATTTTAAAGCCAAAATATGCTTTCCTCTCCCTTGCAATTGTTAGGCTCTTTTTTTGCCTTCTGAGGAAATGCAAACACTACCCCTTTCAGCCTTTTAAAACTAAAGATTACCTACGGTATTACCATTTGTGGGTTTTTTTTTAATTTTATTTTGAGAGTAATGATATTTAGTTTCTTTACATGATTTAGCTTCTGGGCCCCTCAAAGTCCCTCAGATCCTTTTCTGGTCTCTCTGGAATTCTGCTTTCTCTCAAAATTATTTTTAAAAGGCAAATACCATATGCTAACACATATATATGGAATCTAAAAAAAAAAAAAAGTGGTTAAGAAGAACCTAGGGGCAGGACAGGAATAAAGACGCAGACATAGAGAATGGACTTGAGGACACGGGGAGGGGTAAGGGTAATCTGGGACAAAGTGAAAGAGTGGCACGCACCTATATATACTACCA